CAACAAGCATCGCAGCCGGCCAACCAGCGCTCGCGGTTGTGGTGACGCAACCCTCGGGGCGGGTCTAAAAAACAATACCAGCGTTCCATTTTTTTAAAAAAGACAAGCATTGGAACTGGCCAATCAGCGTTCGCGCTTATGGTGACGTAACGGGAGGGCGGGAGCGAAGAACAATCCAATTTCAGCATTCATTTAAAAAGACAAGCTTCGGAGCTGACCAATCAGCGTTCACGCTTATGGTGACGTAACGGGAGGGCGGGTGCGAAGAACAATCCAATGCCAGCGTTCCTTTTTTTTCATTAAAAGAATAGCCTCGGAGCTGGCCAACTAGCGCTCGCGGTTGTGGTGACGTAACCCTCGGGGCGGGACCAAAGAACAATCCAATTTCAGAGTTCATTAAAAAAGACAAGCTTCGGAGACGGCCAATCAGCGTTCGCGCTTATGGTGACGTAACGGGAGGGCGGGAGCGAAGAACAATCCAATTTCAGAGTTCATTTAAAAAGACAAGCTTCGGAGCCGGCCAATCAGCGTTCGTGCTTGTGGTGACGTAACGGGAGGGCGGGAGCGAAGAACAATCCAATGTTAGCGTTCCCTTTTTCTTTAAAATACAAGCTTCGAAGCCGGCCAATGAGCGTTCGCCTTTGTGGTGACGTAACAGCAAGGCGGGACAAAATCAGCGTTCCTTTTTTTCTTTAAAAGACAAGCATCGGAGCGGGCCAACCAGCGTTCCGACTTATGGTGACGTAACAGCAGGGCGGGACCAAAGAACAATTCAATACCAGCGTTCCTTTTCTTTCTTTAAAAGACAAGCATCAGAGCGGGCCAACGAGCGTTCCCGTTTACGATGACGTAACGAGAAGGCGGGAGCGATGAAAGGATTTAAACCAATAGGAAGCGACGAATCGTGTTTGTGTTTTGCAACGGCACCGGCGCTGTCCAATCACCGCTCGCGCTTTCCGTGACGTATGTGAAGGGGGCGGGGAGTATGGAATGAGGCAGCGAAATATTTTATATTTTTTTCTCTAAGTGGGCGTCAACAAGCCACGCCCCTCTCCGTGACGTCACCGCGGCAAACGGAGGCAGAGGAGCGCGCGCGCGCGCAGCCCGAGGTCACGTGAGCAGAAGCGGCGTCCGTTGCGTCGCCTCAGCCAGTCAGTCGAGGAGTGAGAGAGGCAGAGATCGGCACGTTCTTCCTTTGCTTCTACTTCCAGTGTGTGGTCTCTCTCTCTCAAGTCGGAGACCAGGCCGCGAGGGAGGGAGAACCCTTCGGAAGGCGCTCTTTATATCTATATATATATATATTCCCTCCCCCGCTTCTTCGCTGCTGCCGCCGTCGAGGCCGGAGCCCTTGATGTGGTTCGGGGCCCAGCGGGGAGAAGATGCCGCCGTCCAAGTCCCGTAAGATCGCCATCCTGGGCTACAGGAGCGTCGGTGAGGCCGCCCACTCGAGGCAGACTACCTTAGGGTTACTATTTGGGAAATTCGAGTCTATATACAAGAGGCCTGGGCCAACTTGGGCCTTGCAGGAGTTTTGGACTCCAACTCCCACCATTCCTAACAGCCTCAGGCCCCTTCCTTTTTCCCCTCAGCCGCTTAAGCGGCTGAGGGGAAGAGGAAAGGGCCTGGGCTGTTAGGAATGGTGGGAGTTGGAGTCCAAAACTCCTGCAAGGCCCAAGTTGGCCCAATATTGCATATTTTTCTCACCAATTCTATTCTTGTGTCTTGAAGGCATCCTGATACAATTTGGGGATACACGTGTCTTGAGGGTGACTTTTGTCCGTGTATACACTGGCGCCCCACCAAGGTCTAGCCATTTATGCTCTTGGAATAATAGTAGTAATAATTATAATAATAATTAGTGTCTTCAAAGCGTTTCGTCATTATATACAGAGTAACTTCACGTTTGTAACAATTTATAATCCTGGGTATGATTATCATTATTATTACTAAGGGTAGTCATGTCTTGTCTTGATGGAAACTCATTGTTTATTTACAGAGCCCCCCCTTATTATTATTATTATTATTATTATTAAGGGGAGTCATGTCTTGCCTTGATGGAGACTCATTTATATATAGAACCCTCCCTCCATTATTATTATTATTATTATTAAGGGGAGTCATGTCTCGCCTTGATGGAGACTCATTGTTTAGATAGAGCCCCCCTCCCTTACTATTATTGTTATTATTAAGGGGAGTCATGTCTCGCATTGATGGAGACTTGTTGTTTAGAGCCCCCCTCCCTTATTATTATTGTTATTATTAAGGGGAGTCGTGTCTCACCTTGATAGAGACTCGTTGTTTAGATAGAGCCCACCTCCCTTATTATTATTATTATTATTATTATTAAGGGGAGTCATGTCTCGCATTGATGGAGACTCGTTGTTTAGATAGAGCCCCCCTCCCTTATTATTATTGTTATTATTAAGGGGAGTCATGTCTCGCATTGATGGAGACTCGTTGTTTAGATAGAGCCCCCCTCCCTTATTATTATTATTATTATTATTAGGGAGTCATGTCTCGCATTGATGGAGACTCATTGTTTAGATAGAGCCCCCCTCCCTTATTATTATTATTGTTATTATTAAGGGGAGTCATGTCTCGCATTGATGGAGACTCGTTGTTTAGATACAGAGCCCTCCCTTATTATTATTATTATTATTATTATGTCTTGCCTTGATGGAGACTCATTTTTATATACAGAGCCCTCCCTTATTATTATTATTATTATTATTATTATGTCTTGCCTTGATGGAAACTCGTTGTTTATATACAGAGCCTCCCTCCATTATTATTATTATTATTGGGAGTCATGTCTTGCCTTGATGGAGACTCATTGTTTATATACAGAGCCCTCCCTTATTATTATTATTATTATTATTATTAAGGGGAGTCATGTCTTGCCTTGATGGAGACTCGTTGTTTATATATAGAGTCCTCCATTATTATTATTATTATTATTATTATTATTATTATTATTATTAAGAGGAGTCATGTCTTACCTTAATGGAGACTCATTGTTTAGATACAGAGGCCCCCTCCCTTATTATTATTATTATTATTATTATTATTATTATTATTATTATTATTATTAAGGGGAGTCATGTCTTGCCTTGATGGAGACTCGTTGTTTATATACAGAGCCCCCCTCCCTTATTATAATAATAATAATTATTATTATTAAGGGGAGTCATGTCTTGCCTTGATTGAGACCCATTGTTTATATACAGAGCCCCCACTCAATTATTATAATAATTATTATTAAGGGGAGTCATGTCTTGCCTTGATGGAGACTCATTGTTTATATACAGAGCTCCCCTCCATTATTATTAGTAAGAGGAGTCATGTCTTGCCTTGATGGAGACTCATTGTTTATATACGACCCCCCCCCCCCCCCCCAGTATATAGCAGGCATGGGCAAACTTCATTTTGGACTTCAAATCTCACAATTCCTAGCAGCCGGAATTGTATGCAGCCTTAACAGTGTATAATCCTGAAATATTATTTGGGAAGACAGATGTCTTGTTTTGAGAAGGGACGGTGTTTATAGCCCTGGAATAATTTGTAATAATAACACAACACAACCCCCCAAAAATCTGGTTGTTTAGGCCTGTCCCTGGGGTTATTGGGGTTTCAGATTCAGAAAATTGCATTGGATATACCTCAAGTTTCTTAGAAATGGTTGTCGTGCAAGCAGATGGCAACTGGTAGATGGCATGTGTTCTGTATCTCAAAAACTAAAGTCAATAAGGGGAAACGGGTGCCATTTTAGGAATCAGCAGGTCAAATATACCCAGAAACAGGGCTAACAATGTATAATTCTATAATCATTATTATTATTATTATTATTATTATTATTATTATTGCTACTACCATTACTATTTTGAGAGGGGACATATATCTTGTTTTGTTGCTGTTTCATTGTTTATATATGGGGAGCCCCCTCCCAAATGTATCCACCCGTGACAATGTAGAGTGCAGGAGTTAATGTGTTATTATTTTTCATTGACACTTTTCGCTATGCTTACAGATAGGGTTCATCCCCAATATTGTATGTTTCCATAACAGTTTATAATTCTGGAACAATTTGTTGTTATTGGGGAATACACATGTCTTGCCTTGATGGAGCCCCGTGGTTCACATATAGGATGAGCCCTCCAGTGTATACACCCATAACAGGTCATGAGCCTGGAATAATTTATTATTGTGATTGTTATCATTATTATTATTAGCAATTCATTTTTCAAAAAATTGGGCCTTTGGGATCCTTGTGGTTTGGTTTCAGAACCCCACGTGGAGACCCAAATCTATACATGCTCAAATCCCATTGTCTAAAATGGCCTTGCAAAATTGTGTCCCTTATATAAAATGGCAAAATCAAGACACAGGTGGTTGAATCAGTGGACATGGAGAACCATCTGCTCCATTAAAGACTCCAATAGTAGAGGCAGGGTGCAAAATGCCAAAACTGGGGAGGCTTCCCCCAACCCTGCATCTTCCGTTCAAACTACTTTTTTTTCTGTGCAGGGATAACCACATGAATGCCTGACATAACACTGTAATTTAAGATGAAATGTCCGGTTCTGATGAAATCATTATAATCTCATTTATTCCTCAATGTAAAAGTATATTTACTTAATTTTACTTAGTTTTCAAATAATCACTGTGGCTACTATTAGCTGTCAAAGGGCGTGTGCTTTTGTGGAGGCAGAGGCGGGCATCTTGCATATGTTTCTAGATTCTTTTCACTTCTTTTCAGGTCAATTTTTGCAAGAGACTAATAGGTACGGGGTTGAGTTGAGGGTTTTTTGTTAGTGCGTTTACATTTCCCGCCATCTGCAGTGCCAACCTTGGCATGAATATAAATCCCATTTAAAACTGGCTGCCTTTTGCCTTCTGCTTGCCGGAGCATTGCTCTAAATCCAGATGGAAGCTTATTTCTGTGGGAATCTATTCCACGTTGTCCTTTCCCTCTTTGCCAGCCCCTTTTATGCCTTGGGTTGTGCTTGGGAACTTCTCCAGCAGCCTCTACTAGGATAGCCAGCCGCCTGTAATTGCCTCTGTGTTTATGTGGAATGTAGAAGATTATCTGTTCTCAGTGACCTGCCATATTTACAAAACTAGGTTCTTGTGCAATATTTTGCCATTGTTTAGTTCCTGCAATCACAGATTTGTGTTAAGTGGTCTGAAATAATGTATGCACTTCATGTAAATTATGCAACACCCTAGTTAAGAGCTAAAGGCATGTTAAGTAATACTGTGTTTTGCTTCCTCAAGTTACACTGGCACTCCTTTTTTTAAAAGTCTGAATGATTAACGTAAAAATGAATTGACTTCCAAGTTGAATTTACTTTCTTTGAAATGGGATTTGAGCTTTCACTTGATAATAAATAGGTGAAAGGTGGCTTTAAGATAATGCTGTTGAAGCATCCTGTTACATCATCTTGATAGTATGACAAATATCTAGATATACTTAGTAAAAGCCTTTGCTCTTGTGTGCGGAAGGTACTATTTGAATTGCAACAACTATTAGAAATGTGTAAGGAACTGATGCTCTGTTAAAGAGTACAGAAAGAACAGTGATGTGTTACTGAAGCCATCTTTCCTGGACCGGTCCCATGAGGAAGACAGGCAGTGCATTCCGTTGCCTATGCTAAATTTAGTCCCGAGTTCAGATCTCATTTAGACCTCACCGCTACATTTCAGATCTATTTTGGCCTTTCTCTTCCAACAATAGTTTGAAGCTGGTGAGTTAGAAATACTGTGAGAAATGCCAATGTGGGTAATATTCTGTAATCCATTGATACTTTCACTGTGAGATGGAAAACCCTACAAATGAACCCCTTCAAAAACTTCATCTCCTCTACTTCCACCCCCCAATTAATTCTAGGTCCTGTTGTGCATCTTCTACATCTGGAGATCATGTGGATTTACTGCTAGCCTGGGTACCTTTTCATACAGTAACTTTATGGAAATAATCTCCTTTAGATGGAATGGAGAAGCAAGTTCATTAAGCTGCTGCTCTACTGGCCATTTTATTCCTCCTCTTCTCTTAAACATAGTCTGTAGACCAGCTTTGCACCAAAATACTGTTTTTGGTATGCTTTTGGGTTTGGAGGGGATCCAAATCCAAAAGCACAATCTTAATGGCATCTTAGATTAGATAGTCTCAAGATCAGTCCAAATGTAAAACAAGGAGTTTTCTGTTGCATATTATTTTTTGTTCTTTGAATTTAAGGAAACCAAATGATAATTATTTTGTCAGTAAAATGAAACTTCATTGTGACATATAATAATGCATGTCTCTGGAAGATGATTCCTTCATTCTTAGTTAGCTGTTTGGAAATTATGAGATGAGAGAAGGTTCTCTTATTCTGCTTTCTTGAACATTGAATATTCTCTGTTTTCTCACTGGGTGGGAACAGTAAACATAG